TGGAGAATTTTACCAAACATTCAAAGAAGATTTAATACCCATCCTTCTCAAACTATTCCAAAAAATAGAGGAAGATGGAACACTTTGTAAATCATTCTATGAGGCCAACATCACCCTGGTACCAAAGCCAGACAAAGACAATACAAAGAAGGAAAATTACAGGCCACTATCGCTGATGAACATAGATGCCAAAATCCTCAACAAAATATTGGCAAACCGAATACCGTGATACATTAAAAAGATTATACACCTTGATCAAGTGGGATTTATACCAGGGACACAGGGATGGTTCAACATCCGCAAATCAATCAACGTGAAACACTACATCAACAAAACAAAGAATAAAAACCACATGGTCATCTCAATAGACACAGAGAAAGCATTTGACAAGATACAACATGCATTTCTGATAAAAACTCTCAAGAAAATGGGTATAGAAGGAAAGTACCTCAACATAATAAAGGCTATTTATGACAAACCCACAGCCAACATCCTACTCATGGGGAAAAACTGAAAGCCATTCCTCTGAGAACAGGAATGAGGAAAGGCTGCCCACTCTCACCACTCCTATTCAACATAGTACTGGAGGTTTTGGCCAAAGCAATTAGGCAAGAAAAAGGAATAAAAGGAATCCAAATAGGCAATGAAGAAGTGAAACTCTCACTATTTGCAGATGACATGATTTTATATATAGAAAACCCTAGGGCCAGCCCCATGGCTTGGCGGTTGGGTGCGCGTGCTCCACTGCTGGTGGCCCAGGTTTGGATCCCGGGCTCCCACCATCGCACCACTTCTCCGGCCATGCTGAGGCCGCATCCCACATGCAGCAACTAGAAGGATGTGCAGCTACGACATACAACTCTCTACTGGGGCTTTGGGGAAAAAGAAAGAAAGAAATAAAATTAAAAAAAAAGAAAACCCTAGAGCCAGCCCTATGGCTTAGCGGTTGAGCATGCGCGCTCCACTACTGGCAGCCTGGGTTCGGATCCTCGGCGCGCACCGATGCACCACTTCTCCGGCCATGCTGAGGCCACATCCCACATACAGCAACTAGAAGGATATGCAACTATGACATACAACTATCAGCTGGGGGTTGGGGGGGAAAAAGGAGGAGGATTGGCAATGGATGTTAGCTCAGAGCTAGCCTTCCTCGGCAAAAAAATGAGGAGGATTAGCATGGATATTAGCTCAGGGCTGATCTTCCTCACAAAAAAAAAACCCTAAATAATCCGTTGGAAAACTATTAGAAATAATCAACAACTACAGCAAAGTTGCAGGGTACAAAATCAATC